AACCAACTGAAGGATGCTATACTGTTGTGTCGCAACAGGCCTCAAGCGGACCAACATGGTTGCGTACAATATTGCATGGCCCCAAGCAGTGATCAAGAGCTTGGTACGTATGACCAACGATCGAGCAATCATTTGTAAGCGCTTAATGAATGCCTTTACCAGGCCTTTCTGGGTGTGAACATAAGGTACAAGATGTTCAACTTCAACCCTAACTGACATACAATAGCAATCAAAAGTTTTAGATGTGAATTCTCCAGCATTATCCAATCAAATAGATTTGATCGGATAATTAGGGTGGTGAGTCCTGAGCTTAATAACCTGTGCCAACGGTTTGGAGAATGCAGTGTTCCTTGTGGACAACAAGCACACGTGTGACAATGTGCAGAAGCGTCAACCAATACCTTAAAATATCTAAGTGGTTCGCAAGGAGGGTGAATCGGTCCATAAATGTCCCTCTGAATCCTTTGTAGAAAAATAGGAGGATTCGAACGAATTTTGTTATAAGAAGGCTTAATAATAAGTTTTCCCATAAAGTAGGTTTGACATGCAATTCCTTGCATCGAACATAAATTTTGGGTTGTGGATGCCTTTGTGAAGATTTGAGGATATGGTGCATCATTGTTTATCGAGGGTGTCCCAAACAATCATGCCAAAGTGTAATTTCGTGCGCGGTCCCTGAGGTAGGGCTAGCCACATAATGGCTTTCTATAGGGCATATGGTTGTAGTATACAAACCACTCGGGATACGCTCCATCTTCTCTAGAATACACTTCTGGCCATATTCGTAGGAAATTATGCACAAAAATTCAACTCCACTTTCTACATAGGTTTTAGTGTGGTAATTATTATCTCTAATGTGCTTGAACTCAACAATATTCTTCCAGAACGTGGAGAATAAAATGCATCTTCAGTGGTCAAGATTGTACCATTGGACAACATTATACGTGCCTTACTGTATTCTTCAATCAGGTTGGATGGGCTTGAAAGGGTTGTCAAAGGTGCATTCTTAGGTACGAAGTTAGTGAAATATATGCGTTCACACAAAACGGTATGTAGTTGCATTATCTTCCAGACAACTAACTTTCCTAATAGTCATACCTAGAACAAAAAATTAATTTGAATCGGTCACATGCATAAAAGTTCTAAAAATAATATCCATTCAAAATAATTTAAGTATCAAGGGGTGGTAATTAAAAAAAAAAACTTAATATCCGAAAACAAATCACCAACAAATAATAAGCTAAAAACAGATCATGTATAAAATTCTAATCTTCCATAGGGGTGGGTAATAGCCTCTTGAAAGTTGAAAACCTACATTTTGGTACTCTTCAATTGATCCACTAGCATAAAGTTCGATTCAAACTTCTTACGATGAGAATGATATTCAGCTACAACCTTCTAGGTAGCACAGCAAACACAGGACCAATGTTTCTTTGAACCACAGTGGTACCACAGGTACGCATCCATGGTGTCAGGTGTTTTGCCCTTATTCTTAAAGTTTGAGGACTTATGAGGGAGGTTAGGGCACTTCTGGGCTTGGTTTCCTCCCTTAGATGGGCTTTGGCTTTATTGACCTTGATGGGGTGGCTTCTAGTCGCCCCTACCACTCTTATGTTGGCGTTTTGGGCATTGGTTTGTGCTATAATGTGCTTCAGGCACAACAGTCGCCCCAGTAGGTCGAGTTTGATGATTTTTCATCAACAACTGATTATGCTTTTCAGCGAAAAGTAAAACAGAGATCAAATCTGAAAACTTAGTGAATTTCTTAGCCCTATATTATTGCTGCATGACAATATTGGTAGCAGAGAAGGTCGAATAGACATTCTCTAAGAGATCCGCTTCGGTTAAGTTTTCGTTACAGAACTTGAAAAGTGATCGGATTCGACAAACTTTAGAATTATATTTATTCATAGACTTAGTCTTGGACCTGTAGATGCTGCCAGTCGTGTCTTGCTTCAGGTAAGAAGATGTCATTTTGGCGATTGAATCGATCAACCAAATCGATCCAAAATGCTTGTGGATCTTCTTGAGTAAGGTACTTGGTTTGTGCATCATAAATGTGCCTTCGAAGGAAGATCATGTCAGTGGCTTTCTCAGCTTCACCAATTGGGTTGTCCATCTCATCTTCAATGGCAGGACGTAAATTCTTTGTGATGAAGTGGAGCTTCACATCTTGGACCTAGTTGAAGTAGTTTCTTCTGGAGACCTCTAAAGCGGTGAAGTCGAGTTTGTTCAAATTCGACATGTCCCTATCACAAAATTAATGGACAGGAATGTGGTTAGTGTAATGGAGAAAGAATTGAACCATTCACATATGAGTAGAACATTCAGGTTCTAATAGACATTTATTGGTTTAAATTTACATGAAAAAACTTCGGGTTTTTATGGGTGATATTTTAAAGGAAAACTTCAGGTTTTCAAACAAGGCATGTTTCTAGGAACTTCAGGTTTCGAAAGAATTATGAACTTCAAGTTCATATGTTCCAGAAGACAAACACAAATATATATATACAGAAATATGCAACAAGGAAATATGCAAATAGATATTCAGGTCTAGAATTATAATTGAATTAATTATTTGGACTTCGGGCCAATAATAAAGTGTGGGTGAAAAATTATAAAACCCAAAAGTGCCTGAAAAAATAGGCAATTAAACTCGGGGCCCAAAAAATAATGGCTAAGCCCACGGGTGGGCTGAGCAAATTGAGACCATACAGTTAAGGCCCAATAAAATGGGCTGGGTTGATATGGGTAACATGCCTAAGAACAGAGGCCCAAAAGGAGCTCTCATCTGGTGCGGCAAGGAGCAAGCTAGGGCTGCATGCCCTATCTGAATGTATGCTTCGGTGCTTCACAGTGTACGAGTACTCGGGGACGCAATCCTATGTGTCGGGAACATCACAACCTTAGAGGGGGCCGTGATTAGGTGTGTCATGGTGCAGGTGCACCGACTCACCAACTATGGGCATGGATCTTGTGTGGTTATGTGAACTGGGACACCATAGCCCTATCTGCTGTGTCACATGGGTCAAGTGTGGGCTGCAATATGCAAGCCCAAAGACAATAATTGGTTTTAGCTTTGGGCTCTAAGGAACCAAGCCTTAACTCGTAGTTGGGTGTGCTCGTTGGGAAAGAAGACCGGCGCCACCGTTTCAGGCAACCGTGTTTTGGGACAAAAAAAATCTCGGGGCAAGTTCATGAATCAACAGGGATCACGAATATGAACAGAGGTAAGGAAATCTCAACGTTTCAACCAAAAACCCTAGAAAGCCCATGGCTCTGGCTTGTGGTCTTGCGGCTCAGCATAGCTACATAGGCTACAGGTTGGTGCTGGCGGTTTGATGCGGTGTGGCATGGTGGTGACGGGATGTTTCTTGAAAAACCCTAATTTTAATTTTTTTTTTCAAATTTCCAGATTATAATTCAATGCACATTCAACATATAATTCAATGCATGAACATATATTTGATGCAATTCATGGCAATATCAATTCACATAATTCAACAATTATGGATATAATGCATACACAATTTATGTAGAATCTACAATTCAAAAAACTTGAAGTTGGGTCATGCATTATGGTGAATGTTCATGCTATTAGGGCTGCAAAAATATTGAGATAAAAACTGTTGTTTTGGAAGAACCTGATTGCGTGATGATATTGATGAACTGGTTTGATGCAAAAAACTTCCATGTCTGATTTCTAAGTGCAGCGGTATGAGCGTGTTGATAACGTGTTGTGGCTTATTTTATCTGACAGGGGAGAGAGGGGGCGCACGGCAGAGAGAGAGTAGCGAGATATGTGTTTGTAGGGTTGTGTAGAAGATGTGTTATTCCTCCTACACAATGCCTTTATTTATAGTAATAAGGGAGGGAAGAATCCTTCTCCTCCAAGGAATACAAGTCCTAATAGGGAAGAAGAATTAGTATCAAATCTAATGTAGGATTTACACAATCACACTTAAATACAATGTTTATAACAACGACACAAAATTCAGATATACATAAGATCCAAAACATACTTGAAAATCTAAAATTATAGGGTGGTGCTATGCAACACAATCTTTTTTACCTTGCACACTCCATGTTAATTATTGTCTTTTGATTCGACGAACGAAAATAGAAAAATGTGCATGAAAGGTAAAAAGAAGTGTGTGGGCTGTGGATGAAATTAACTAACTTGGGGAGTATTTATCAAATATAGCCAAAAATTAACCTTTAATTTCAAAAATGTCACTTTTTATAAAATCTGTCAAATATATACAAAATTCCATCTAAATAGACGCAGATACCCTCAAATTTAACATCAAATAAATTAAAGGATTTTTAGCCAAAATGATTCATGACATTGACATAATTCCTTAATCTGATCCTTAATAATTAATGATAATCGATAGTAATGTTCATGAATTTGTCTATCATGAATCATTTTAGTCTTTCTTTGAATTTGTTCATCGTGATCATTTTAGTTTTTTTGTGAAAAATTTGTCAATTGCTCTATTAGTGTGATGATGTGGCGCCACGTGGGTCTCACAAATACAATCATATAATGACATGTGGATTAACTTTAAAAACTATTTTTATATTTAAAACTAAATATGATATTAGTAAGAAAAAAGGCGTTGAAGGCATGATTGAAATTCTGCTGCTCCCACTTGCGGTAACTGCGATGGCGCTTAATGTCGGTGATGAGGGGGTCGAAGGGGATATGGTTGTGGTTGTGGAGTGTAGAAGCGAAGGTGAAGTTGGCCCGGAGCTTAAGACGACAGTAGCTAAAAATCTTTTAATTTATCTAATTGTTAAATTTGAGGGTGTTTGTATCTATTTAAGTGAAATTTTGGATATATTTGAAAGTTTTTATAAAAAGTGACATTTTTAAAATTAAGAGTTAATTTTAGGCTATATTTGATATATCCTCTAACTTGGGCTGTTATTGGGCTGTGCCTTGGCGCCACTTAACGTAGGCTTAAGCCCATCCAACGCTCCCAGAAGTGAAGAAAACGACATTACGAAGTAGCGGCTCGAGTTAACAACTTTGTGAGGAGCCATTGATTCCCCGACTCAAGGGCTCAACGCCGATCCTCTTCCTCCCTCCGTCGTCAAACTGAACGATCCTCCGCCGCCTCCTCTGTCACCTCCGGACGGCCTCTCGTTCTCTCAACCTTCAGAGCCACAACAATGCCTGTAATTCTCTCTCTCTCTCTCTCTCTGATCATGGATCCAGATCTGTATCTATTTGTTTATGAAAATTGTGAATCATGGAGGCTTAATCTTGTGCGGTGCAGTTCAGGAGATTGATAGAGGTGGAACCGCCGAGCCCGCTGAGATACATAATCGGAGCGGCGATCATGATGATCGGAGTAGTCTTACCCGTCGGTTACATGATGTTCCGTAACAAGCGCGTCCCTACTTCTTCTTCGTACTCCAAACAGACGTAGGTGTGCCTTTTTAAAAAATTTCGTTTTCATCATTTCCCACCCCCTTAATTTCCCATATTGGTCAAATTGCCCCAGTAAGTTTTAAGTTTAGGAATTGTTCTGAATCTGATATGGGAATTTTTCTCTTGGTATTTCAGAAACAAAGTTTTGATATAGAGACAGAGAGAGAGAAAGAGAGAGATTAGTGAGATTACAAGGATTTCGGATTTGATTTTTCGTGTTGAGAAGTTGAAAAGCTGCGAGGCACTGATGGATCCGTCACCGTCATTTACAAATGTAAATTCATTCAAACTTCATATCTGTTATATGGATTACTTAAGCGAAATTCTGTACAATGATATATGCATGTGATTTGATATAGTCTTGTACCTCTTGGTTTCGCTATTCAACTGGAATTGATGCTTGTTAATTATAACATAGTTTGCCTCTCTTTTTTCCTTTTTCTTTTTTTTTGTTTGGGGTGGAATGATTTTGCCCATTTTCTTGATTCCTTTGAGCATTTAGCTATTTCCGTAAGGTTGTATCGAAAACTTCTCGGTTATGTAGCGTGATTTGTGAGGAAAGATAGGAAGATTGATGATTTAATAAAGAAAATACATTTGGCTTTAGGTAGAGGCTGGATAGAGCGATAAACAGTCGCTTGTAGATGACCCCAATATGTTGGGATGAATCTAGTTGCGCTGAGTGTAAAGATAGTGAATGTGCTTACCCACTATTAGTTTCACCCATACACTTGCTTGTGGTAATGTCCTCCGGTTTCGGTTTGATTGACTGGTGGACTGATTGAGTATCCTGTATGTTCTAGTACCTAGTTATGTTGACTTATCCAGAAGAAATTTTCAGTGGTGGTGGCATTCAGCAATTCTAGTCTAGTTTTTGGTTCACTTTCATGTTCTTCGTTTTGGTCTGACTGGTCGAAGTGTTTCGAACAAGTTGAATTGATGTGTAGCGTGATTTGTGAGGAAAGATAGGAAGATTGATGATCTAATGAAGAAAATACAGTTTGCTTTAGGTAAAGGCTGGATAGAGCGATAAAAGTCGCTTGTAGATGACCCTGATATATTGGGATGAATCAAGTTGAGCTGAGTGTAAAGATGGTGAACGTGCTTACGGTAATCTCCACCTATTAGTTTCACCAATACACTTGCTTGTGGTAATGTCCTCCTATTAGTTTCACCAATACACTTGCTTGTGGTAATGTCCTCTTGTTTCGGTTTGATTTACTGGTGGACTAGGGATGGGCAATGGTTATGGCGGGCGGGTAACCACGGTTAATTTACCCATAACCGTTTATGCTCATACCCGCATAACCGTTTACCCGTTAGGTAATTGCCTAAACAATTATACCCATACCCATAACCGTTTATAAACGGTTAATCATACCCATAACCGTATACCCATTTAACCGTAATCGTTTAATACCCGTTTACCCATTTATCCTTTTTAACCCGTTTATCTTTTTTTTTTTTTTTTTACCATTATCCTTTTTTCATCCGTCTACATATTTTTTAACAACTTGAAAATTAAAAAAAAAATTGTCATAATTTTTTTTTGACAATTAAATACTGTTATAGTATAGGTATATTCATTATACATTTCCATATTTTAATTTTTTAAGTCCTTATACTATTTCAATAATTGAAATAATAGTTTACGGACGATATTTTTAATTGTTACCAATAAAGGTAAATATAATATTTGCTAAGTATTATTAGGTTATAAAAATTGTTTAGAAGACATTTCTGTCAAAGCATTTCTTTCAGTTTCACGGTTACCCGCAAGGAATTTAAATTAATTTGACCAATTCCTTGATGATGAGAATCATCATTCCTGTAGTAGTGTTATTGAGAGAAGGACCGATGAATTCCTTGCTAATTTATTGGGTGCTAAGTATTATTGGATCGAGAACATGGTTTGCGTTAGTTTTAAATATATAAAATAAATGGGTAAACGGTTACCCGTTTATAATCGCGGTTAATATCCATAACCGTCCATTTAAATTTCGCGGGTAAAATAACCGTTTATTTATCTAAACAGTTACCCATAACTGTAACCGTTTAATTTAAATGGGCGGGTAACTGCGATTACCCATAACCAATGGGTATTTGCCCACCTATATGGTGGACTGATTGAGTATCCTATATGTTCTAGTACCTAGTTATGTTGACTTATCCAGATGGAATTTTCGGTGTTAGGGGCATTCGGCAATTCTAGTCTAATTTTTGGTTTGCTTCATGTTCTTGGGTTTGGTCTCACTAGGCGCAGCGTTCATTTGAACAAGTTGAATTGTCCTTGTGCAAAGATGCATATTATGGTGTTTATCGTTTTGAAGTTGTCTATTTCTGTGATGATGTTATTCTTTTTTTGCAGTAAGTCGTGTGCTAATATGAATTGATAGTCTACTTAGTCGTAGTAAATCCAAATTATGATGTGTTACTATTTATTAACTTGAAGGTTTAAATCCGTTAACATGCATGAGCTATGCAATTAAAGTTTTCTCTTCAATGGCAAAGATACTAAAGTGAAACCCTATACGCATGTGCTGTTCTTTGAATCCTATTTAGAGTCTATATTACAGAGTTGTCTGCATGCATACACAGCAAGCATCTACTCTGAAAACTAGCTACTAATTGAATTCCAATGTGAGAAAATATAATCTTAATCAACCAATCTGGTTCATTGACACATTCTGACCCGGATATTCAGTGAGTATTGAACTTGATGAGTGCTGACCATCATCCGAATAGGTGACGAAACCATGATGTGCATGGAGTCATAACTAAAATTTTCAATTGAGAAAAGTGAGATAAGCCCAAAATAAACACCTGCAAGTTACCAAATTTTTCAACACAACCCCGAAGGGCCATACTTGATAGGTCTTCGACCCTCTATTACATGCACGATAATATGTTAAGAGCACGGTTGACTAATACCAATTCAACATGTAAAACTGAGTGGATATCCTACTCGGTAAGAATATGCCAGAGCCTATGAGGGTGTGTCGACGTCGAATATGCTTATAACAATTGCTACTTATTCCAGTTGTTTAAGCGTTATTAGCATACAATCTCATATACTAGCCGTAACTAGTGTAAGTTGAAATATAATTATGTAGTTACTGATTTATCTAGAAGTAATGACAAGCTAAGAGCATATAATCATACACTGGAAGCTGACAAGCAAAATATATAGCATACACATACAAGTTGGATCCACAGTATGGACAAACTGAATATATATCATACACGTGTAAGTTGGATGTCATGACCTTACTATGGACAAGCTGGATATATAATACACATGTAAGCTGATGCTGTGTTTAAAAGATCCAAGAAATTGTCAATATTTTCATCAAAATCCAAAACAATTAAGGATTGATATAGAAAGGGAGGGTGAAATGCAAACTTCACTCCATATTGGCTAGGTACAGGAAAATCAATGAATATCGGCGATATTTTCAGACTCACTACATAAATTTTGCTCGAACCCATTGCAGATTTCGAACTTTTGAATTTTTATGGAGATATTTCTATCTTATTTCGATTAAATCTGAATGAGTTGATATACTCACTCCATTGAAAAGTTTCGTAATTTTCGTTGAAGGCACTAATATGTTAGCAATATCGATATTTCCATAAATTTGTATATCGATACTTCCACTTAAGTCAATATTACATTGACTGGATATAGATCATACACGTGTAAGCTGGATGTCTTGTTCGTAGTATGGACAAACTAAATATATATCATACACGCGTAAGCTTAATGTCATATCAATAATATGAACAAGCTGAATATAAATTGGACAAGGATTATCTGCCCTCCCACTTCCGGTGCCCTCCCGTGCCCTCCTATTTTGTGTGGTCACGGTTAAGCCACGTCAACATTTTATATTGTTTTTTTATAGAGATAATAAGACAAAAATGAACAGTAATATTAAATATTGACGTGGCTTAACCATAACCACACAAACAGGAGGGCATGGGAGGACACTAGAAGTGGGAGGGCAAACAATCCTTGTCCATATAAATCATACATGTGTAAGCTGAATGTCATGTCCGTAACATGGACATGAATGAATGCCATGTTCACTAGCCTTAAATAATGTAAGCTGAAACATACGATTATGCACTCACACCTCCATACGTAACTGAAATCTTAATTAGCTAAGCATGTTTGATACACAAGACATTTCTGAAATCAAATCCATTCACACCTTCAACTTGCTCCCCCCCTAAGAAGCTTATCCTTGTCAATCTAGTCTGTACCTAGACCAAAATGATGTGGTAGAAACTAACACACAAATTAAATCCTATAAATTATGCAATCGTAGTACGAGTAAGTAGGGATCGTTCTATTCCGAGGATTAGAAGGGATGCTAATCAACAAAAATTAAACTTAATAAGCTGAAATCTAAGTTAAACTAACAACAAAACAATGACTGGGGGGATTTTGGACGAATTTAATTAAAACAACAGTAAATGGCAGCAAGTAAATTAAGTTGTTAATGAAATATGGATGAAATGATAACTAGAGGATTCTTCTCCACACATTAATCATATGTATACAAATTGATTTCCAATTATTCTTTCCATAAACCATGAATGGCAATGCCCCAAATTAACTGTGTACAAAACTAATTAACCTTCAAATTTTCTTAAGTTAATTGAATTGGACTCAACGACGCAACCAAATTATTCTTCTCAAGTTCCCTAACTATGAAAAGCATGATGGAGATACATCTTGAAGATCATTACGTTCTGTGAAAATCATAAGCATTGACAAAACATTCGTAACTATGAAAAGCATGATACTCCTACCAAGGATTTACTTAACTCAATCATAACGAGTGACTTTTACTACTTGCAAATATAAGTCCATAACAATTAGGTGGAATTCCTTTATATTCTAGCATCAAATCCCTGCATGCAAACTAAGTATGTATCCTTAAACATACAAGAATAAGTTTTCTATAAAGCAGATAAGTAAATCACATTCATGTTTTATGAAACAATAATTGGATGTAATCAATTTATATAGAACATATGATCATGGCTTCAAATTTACCTCTAGCTAAAAAGAAACTTAGTTGCACATGTTCATCAGATTTGAAAAACAATATAAAATAAACATTGAAACTTAAAACAAAGAGAGAAAGAACTTTGAAAATTCTAGCAACTTCAATGGATGAATGGTAGGCACCCCTCAAACGTTGCAGGACACGACAAGGGTTTTCTTTAGAGTGAATGAAAAGAGAGGAAAAATAGATCCTCCAAATTGTGTAATTCGTCCAGAATAAAAAGTGCATGTAAAAGTGGCTAAAAGGTAAGTTTTTATGGGGTAAAGGACGCTGCAAGATATTCCAAAGTGATCTAAGCAACTTAGCCTTTATTTTGCATATTTTTGCCTTATTTGGCACCTCCAAATCAA